AATGTAGAATAATTTGACTTGTCTGTTTCACATTTTAAATAGACAATCAAAGTAGTTATGCTACTAAGATTGGTGGACTCATCTATCAGAATATCTATTTTTCCTTTTATTTCGAGGATGCATTTGCAGACTTTCGATCTCATTTCTTGTGCAACATGGTCAATTATATTAGTAGCACTAAATCTCAAATGCAAGCCTTGTGGAATTTCTGTGCCATTTAATTCTTGCAACCGCAACAGACCAAAATAGTCAGAATATGGTTTTATCATTTTTGGCTATATAATACACAGTTCAAATAATTTTGCAGGTAGCCTCTACTTCAGATTTATTCAACCGATCCACAAAAGTTTGAAGTTGTTGTTCCCTTGCACTCTGAAATATTTTTTACAGCACTGTTGTGTGACAGCATATTTGAATGAAGTTGAATTTTTTTTCTCAAGAATGTTGGATGTGCTGATCATGTGCTGCAGTTGAAACTGAACTCCATTCTTTGGATCATCTAGCATCTTGTGATTTAAATGAGCCTAGATTTGTCACACTAGAGCATGCTGCACATTCGATTTTTCCAGAATCACTCACAACCCACAGTTAAGCTTTTTTCTTATCTTCACATATCTTAGCACTCCAAACTTCAGGCCATGCAGACTTGAGTTCATCATTCTTGCATTCAGTTGTGTGTTGTCCTGTAAATGTCACTTCACTGAAATTTGATATATCACTAGAATATCAATACAGAAGATCCAATGTATGAATACAAAGGTCTGTTGACTGAATGCCCCTTACCTGATGATGTATGAGACTACCTTAGAATTGTCGGATTGGACCATCACCAACCAGCCCCAAAGAGCCTGCAGGAAGTGAAGTAAGGACTGATGAACAGTAAGAAGATCCAAGGGATTGATATGGAGAGAGAACTTGGAAAAAGTCCACCACCCCAAAACCTCCTGAGAGTCAAGATACCTCCCCAAAACCAGAAAGAAATGCATCCGTAAAAGGTATCATTCTTGATGAGAAGGAGGGAACACCCACATTAGTACTATTTCAATCCAATCACCAGTCAAAGTCTGTATGGAAAGGAGAGGAGAAGAATAAGAGGGGGCATCTAAGGGATCCCAAACAAGGCTCCATTGGTCTATCAAAACCCACTGAAGATGACACAAGTAAGCATGACCCAGAGGAATGAGGGTTTCAAGATAAGCCATGTCCCCAAAAGGGAGAGAACCTCTCACACAGTAGGAGAAGGAGCTGATGAGACACTGCATGCAAGATGTTCCATAGCTCTCAACTAAAGTGGAGCAAGTTGGACCCAATAGAGCAGGGAATTGAGAAACACCCGAAGACAAACTAAGTATTGTGTGGGTGTGAGGAAAAACTTATCTACTTGGAAAAGTTAACCCACTGTAGCATCTTCCTGGAAAAGAAACTGAGTATGTAAGACTGAGTCGTTTTATGAGGAGGCAAGAAGCAGCCAGTCGTCCATATAATGGTGGAAATGAAGGCCCCCTGGAATGAATCAGGTGGGCAAAAGCTAGGACCATTTGACAGAATACATAAGGAACCAAAGCAAGTCTGAATGGAAGTGCCCAAAACCAAAACTCACACCTGTGATGAACAAAATGAAGATACTGTCTGGATACAGGGGTGATGGGGATATGCATCTGACACCTCGACATTCATCATCCACAAACCTGAAGTAAAAACCCAACAAAGAGCTAGGTACGACTCCATGGTGAATGTGAGAATGACCAGGAAGCAGTCAGAGATGATAAACTGATGACCATGCATCAATCCCCAATCAGTTTGGGAACAAATAGATGAGAATAAAATCCTGGATGAGAATGATCTCCTCATTTGATGGCTCTCTTGTAAAGTAAGTCCTGAGTTGCTTCCTACAGACACTGGCATGAAACAGAATTCTGATGAGGAAGGAAGGAAATGGGATTTTATGACAAGGGTAAAGATGAATGGAAGTGGAGGACCAGACCTTCAGAAACAACTTTCACAACCCATGGATTGACTGCAAAGGACCTCCAAAGATAGGCAAATGGAAGGAGTCTGGCCCCCACTGGCCTTGACCTGAGAAAAATGGTCAGGGAAAGATGAATATGGGAAAACTGTGGTTGGGAAAAGGTAATCGACGTATTGGGGTCCAATCCCTACAATAGGAGAAGTGACACCAAGTGCTGCGAGTCCAAATAAGGAAATATGGAACAATGAGAAGCAAAAGCATGATCGTCCATAGTATGCGAGAGTTAAGGCATACCAACCCCCAAATGCAAGTGCTCCTGAAAATGAGTCTTATAAACCCCAATAACA